CCCCAAAACCCCAAAACCCCAAAACCCCTGGCTGCAAATATTTTACTGAATTATCTAATTATAATAATGCCCATAATCATATTCAATTCCGTACCCTGAGGCCCCTCTCCTCCTGCCTTGGTAGTTGAGGTAGAGTTCTTTATTAAACTTGAGTTTGGCATTTTTGAGACCTGAGCTTTCCATGACATGCTTTATTTCTTTGATAAATTGTCTATTAATATTCAGAAATTCTATCTCATTTAAGCTTTCTTTGATACCTGCTGAAGCTAGTTGATTGAAAAAAATGTCGAGCCAAGTATAAGTCAAAATCTGATTTGTTGGATTTGAATAAGGAAAGATCTGAGAAAGAGAGGATTTGGAGTTGATGAGTCCCACTTCAGCATAGAGTAAAGTTTGTTATTTCTTTGATAGTTCAGTTTCTGAACTGAATAGTGTTCACTTTGTTCGCAGACTCAAAAATTTCACTCAGACTATCACCTGTAATCACTAGATTCTCAAGCTTCATTTGGGAGATTGTATTTTCTATAAATCTTAGCATAGTTCTATCAAATTTCTGTGGTTTTTCATCCTCTACTATGATCGAAAGATTGCGTATCTTATTTGGCCTCGAAATGAATGAAAACTCATCAAATAATTCACTGGTATAAACTTTATTTGACACATAGAGGTGTAGGGATTTCATATCTGGCATCTTGTAAAACTTTGCTTTATATAGAAGTTTAAACATCTGATCTTCATTCATCTTGAGTCCGAAGTTAAGGATCCCTTCTCGTTTAAACAACTCAAGTTTAAAAGCAGTAAGTTGCTCACGAAATATCCTTCAGAGCTGCTCTTGGCTATCATACAATAAATTAGCTATTTTTCAAAAATCTCTAAATTGTGTCGGTACATTTTCAGGTGGGTCTTACTCAGTCTAGTCAGTAGCCACTCCCATTGCTCAGGGTATCCAAAATAAGGAACTATTTTAGCGGTGATTTGGAGTCGATCTAAGTACATTTTCAATAAATGCTGTAAATCCTGGGGTTTTGGGGTTTTGGGGTTTTGGGG